AGATACTAGGGAAGCACCAATTATTCTTAATCCAGTGTGCACCGAGCCCAGTCCTCTTTGCCCGGATGAAAACTCAGGTGCTTTGATGTTTGGTTAGAATAATTGCCCTGGCCCAGCTGTGTAAGAAAATTTCTAAAGATCAGGCTGAAGTTCAGTAGAGTGAGCAAAGGATCAAGTAATTGCGAGTAGACACCATCCGATGGGTTGATGTATGAACAGAGAGTAAAGGCATAGGAAATATAAGCTTCTTTCTCACTTCTAGAGCTAAAAGATTCTTCTGCTCTTACCTATGAGAATGCCAGGCCCTCTGATCTCTGGACTTCAAGATTTAAGCTAGCAACTCTCTCTCTATTCTTGTACCTTTGGCCTCAAGCAGAAACTTCCCATCAACTTCCCTGGCTCTGAAACTGTCAGATCTTGGATGTTCTACAACACCTCAGGCTTACCAACATCCTGAGGATTTCTTGCCTGTCATGATTATATCATTCAATTTCTCTAATACATCTCTTCTCTGTATTTATACGTGCTGATAGGCTATTGATTATGACTCTCTGGAGAACCCTAGATGATACATGAGGTATGGATCACATTGCTTTGGAAATGTGTACAAGGGTTTGTCATTGGAAATCCTGATATGATCTGTAAAAGGGGATTTTCTGTGCTCGAGAGCCCCAAGGCAGGAAACTGAATACTTATATCCTCAGAAGTGATTTGTAGCAAATATGTGGAAACACTTCTATCTGCAGTGATCACACATTTCAAAAAATATGGGTGGGTCCTTCTAGTATTAGGTGTGAAGATCCAGCTTTCCAATGGGGGTCCAGGGAAACCAGATGCTTATAAAAGAGGATCAAGGAGGGGCAGCACTGTGGTTTCTCTGGCAGTGGAGAGGATATCTAAGAGGAAGATCACCAAGAACTGGCACATAAAGGAGTGGATCAGTCTCCCACTCTTTTGATAATAAGCAACTTAGCCCAAGGAATCAAAGGCAGAAAAACCAACCGCAAAGCAGACACGACTCAATCCAGGAATAGGACAATACTTCCTTTTCGAAGACTGTGAGTTGGACTACCCTTCCTTTGGCTTCTGATGTCCCCAGAGACATCAAAAGATTTTGGTTAGCAGAAGCAATTATTCTTTCTGCCCTCTTCTGTCTTCTCTTCTAAACTTCTGTTTCATTGGTTTCAACCACTCTTTTCTGCAAGTAGAAATACAGCTCCTAAGTGCCAGGATTCCTTTCTTCCTTCCTTCTTTCCTTCCTTCCTTTCTTTTTTTTTTTAATTTTCCAAAAGGCCAAGCTTTAATAGAAGAGGCAATGAATAATATAGTCACCATTGAGGTAATTTACAATAGGTTGCCTAAGGTAAGACATTTCTTAGCATAATCCATTAAAGAAAAGTATATCTTACATTGTTCCATAGGCTTGAAATTGCTGCTACAGGCAGATTTGGGAATAATGATTACAAATGGTAAAGGGGATGCTGAGTACAATTAAAAGAATCAAGGACAAAAATGAAATAAATTGACTTCGTGTTATGGACCCATTTTGTTCAGATGTAAAAGAAAAAAAAAGAATACTTGTATCTGACCAAAGGATCATGTACAAATACATTCTAATTGCCTTTTTCATTTTTCATAAGGGTTGATCATATAAAGTTATGAACCGCTAAGGAAGCTAAAAAAGCAAGGGCTACCTTCCTAATCCTTGGACTGCCTTAAAGTATCATACCACTGTAGACAAATGGCTTGTCTGAATTTGTGCCTGGATTTTTCATTTTAAACATATTGTCATAGATTGAGACACAAATGGAGTGAGTGCAAATTTTATATTTAGAAAAATGCTAATGATATTCATAACACTCTTGTGTTGTTGAGAGTCATAGTCTCACTATACTGGTTTTGTCTTCTCCATGTACACAAAATTCCTGGGAAGATTCAAATCTTATTTCTCAAAATACACTGCTCCTGTGGAACCAAAATTCCTTAGGGACATGGCATTAAAGTATGAGAAAAGCTAGGAGCTAGAGAAAATGAAATAACACTGCATAAAACTAGGTAGGAACCACTAATAATTGGACAAGAATTTAATAGATACATCCTCTCCTCCCAACTATTACATTTTCATTATATTTTTTATACAATGAAAATTTCCAAGTAGTCATTAAAACGCTGGGTCCTGTGTACCGAGAGTATACTACCTTCCAGGCATTACCCAATATGAGGCAATTATGTCTCATAACCTGGATGTAAATTAAGCAGCTCTATTTTCATAGAAAGCAAGTGAAGTAACATAACTTTTGTAACCAGAAAAGAACTTTTTGAAAAGCAAGATAACCTTTGTTTCTTTGCAATCGTGGCAAGCAAGAAGATTCTTCACTGCAACAGAATTTTATGCTATTGAAAATCCTAGAGCCATTAAAATGCATTAACTCACCAGCCAAATATTTCCTGGAAGCTTCCATAGGAATAGAAATATATTAACAATATTTTTAATGGGCACGCTGTGTAGCATACTAATGTTGTGAGTATCTATGAATAGATACGCACATAAGTATGTTCACAAAATGACAGTCCAAAACTATGCACAGCATACTGATAACTTCTTGGTGGGACACGTAATTTTGATCTTTTCTTTTAGTTATGTATGTCATGATTTTTACAAAATTAACAAGCAAGAGTTAATTGTAGGATAATAAAAAGGAATAAACAAACTTCCTGAGCTTATGTAAGAGTTCATAGCTGCAATAGCTGTCTATAGATAGGTGACACTCTGGATACTACATGGATTTGAAGGTTGAAATAGGATGAGTTTTGTTTATTATGAGATTGAGTGGATTATCAACACCATTTTGAAATGAACATAGAATCTGTATTTTATGAAATAAGATAATGGATTGTATGGAGTATTTTGAATATGCAGGTACTTAAAATATGAACATATGTCTCACTGATTCTTGCCAAGTGAGGAAAAAGTAGTGGATGAAAATGGACATTAAGCCAGTGTAGGCTTGTTGCCCAAAGACCAAGACTTCCCATTCAAGCTGGGTTAGAGAAGATGGTCTATCCAACAACCTGAACAGGATTCCCATTTCTTTTTCCTCAAGTCTAGAGTGGAAACTGCCTGAGAGAATGGATTTCTCAGAGCCCACATTATGATGGATGCATGTGTGACCACAGTTCAGTTTATACCCTTCCAGGACATAAGACAGAGCTTCAGCAAAGTTCCAGGATAGCTTTAGCTCCTATCATAGGTACCAGAGTCTACATGCCTCCTGCCTGAGAGGCCATTTCCCTACCTGATCAGAATAAAGAGGGCAGAGAACCAATATGCAAAGCCCCTCAGGTGTATACCAGGTGGGAGTAAAGCTGGATCCAACCCCACCAAACTAAGATTGAGAAAAGGAGGCCCTAGTCTTAAAAGAACTGGGCACATTTCTGCATCACAGCATCCCATGCTATCCCTTGGAACTATCTTACAGATTCAGAGAATGTGATGTCTCCATCCTCATGTTTCACCATCTAATTGCAGAAGAAAGAGTATGAAGCAAAAAAACACAAGATCACTCAAATGAAGTTCTAAATGTTGAAATAACAAGTTGGGGTAAACAGGAGAAGCACAAAGACACTTAAAACAGCCAAATTCATTCACAGTAGCCAAGTTATGAGGTCAACCCTCTTGCTGTTCAATAGATGAATGGATAAATAAAGGTGCTATATAGCAATATTCAGTACAAGAAACAGCAAAAATGAAGCCCTTGTCTTAAGCTAAGGAGCCAGACTCAGATAAATATTGCATGCTTTCTCTCATGTGTAGAATCTAGAAGATAAGAAGACATGGGGGCAATTGTTAGGAAAGAGGAGAGAAAATCAAAGAGAATAATGGGAGGAAATACTAACAAAGCATGCCTTATACACGGATAAATATCACAATCCCATCATCTTAACAATTAGTATATACTAACTAAAGAATGTCAAAGAGGACATAAAAGGTGACCAATAATAATATATCTCTCAGAAATAAGTCGTGATGATATACTTGGGTTCATAGGGAAAGGGGTGACATTCTGACAAAAGGAGTGAGGAACAAGAAAATACCAAGCTAGGGAGGTCACCATATGCTGTGCAGGTCAGTGCTAGTGTGCAAGAGGAAGAGGCGAGGCGAGAGAGACATGGTAGAGCCTGGTTCCTGGCAGGCTCTGAAAGTGAAATAGACATATGATTCTGATTTAATTTTTTTAGCTTATTATTATTGCATACATGTCATTGCAGCATGTGGGAGTCAGAAGACCTCCAAAATTGTGATTGTGGAGCCAATTTCTCATTCCTCCATTACGCAGGTTCGGAGGACAGAATTGAGGTCATTGGGCTTGTCTGGGAAGTTCCTTTATCCTTGGAGCCATCTTGCCAGCCCAGAGCTCTAATGAAATAAGACATAACTATGCCTTTTCTACCATTGTTCCCCATACTGTCAACACTAAGACCACCCCGAAAAAATTTCATCTCAACTTATCAAATGTTGACTCAAGAGATTTAACTCATCTGAACCAGTAAGGTATACTGTTTTCGGTTGGCTCAAGAATATCTACAGTATCCTCACACACCTTCCTGCCAGGCCCCAGTAAGCAAGCCATACCATAGTCACTTTCATTACATACATAAAATCTTCTAAGATAAAACTTAATGCAATGTAAAACACATTGGATATATCTATTTTTGAAGGAGTTTTAGTGATCTGTAATTCCAAGGATATTCTGTTTCATTTAAATTAGAAAACTTTTATGATTAAATAACTAAATGATCTGGTGTTGATGGAATATTAGTGTGTAGGTAGATAGGTGTGTGTGTGTGTGCGCGCGCATGCTTGTGTGTGTGTGAATGTGCTTGTATGTGTGTGTGTGTGAATGTGCTTGTGTGTTTCTATTTAAGACAAAAAAAAAGCCTTGGTATAAGAAAATCAAGCTTCTATCAAATGGTAATGTTGCTAAAATAAATGGGAGAACAGGCCTAGCAATGAACTAGATTTTGCTCCTCAAGGAAAACTGAAGGAACCCTTTCTTATTCAGAGACCATGGAAGTAAAACAGGTTGCAATCATTGGTGCCGGCGTCAGCGGACTGGGAGCCATTAAGAGCTGCTTGGAGGAAGGACTTGAACCCACTTGCTTTGAAAAGAGCAATGACATCGGAGGGCTGTGGAGATACGAGGTAAATTTACAAGTTCTATTCTCATAAAGCACGATGCTATCTGTGCCTGAGAGACAGATGCTTTCTAACAGTGATTAGAACATGTCAATTTTAAATAATCTAACTATTCTTTACAGAGGAGCATTATCCTCTATCCAGACTAACTCAGAATTTCTCAAGTGCATGATTACGTGAAGAATCTTACTGCACTGTCTGTTACCTTTCTCGTCGCTGAGATAGCACACTTAGGAAAGCAACCCAAGAAAGCACAGATTTATCTCTGTTCATGGCTTTCTGTGTTTCAATACATCAAGGCAGGGACTGCATCACTGAGCTGAACAGCTGTGATCAAAGCAGCCAGAAAGCAAGGAAAATACCTGCACTGATATCCTTTCTCCTTTCTGCCTTTCTTCTAACCCCACCCACATTAAATAGCCACACATAGGAAGACCTATGGTTGAGGCTTCGTCTTTTGCTATGTATTCTAATGTTAATACTGGCCCCAAGATCTGATTGCCTCGGAGGCAAGAGAATCCACATACACACCACATGATGCTCTGTCACCTTGTTCCTTAATTTAAAACTATTGGTTGAATAAAGATGCCAACAGTCTATAGCCAAGCAGAGGGGTAGGTGGGGTTTTAGCTCCTGGGCTTGAGGTCTGAGGAGGACCATGAAGGGAAGAAAAGAAGGTGGAGAGAGGAGAAGATGCCATGGGGTAAGTGAATCATGATAGCATGGCCATGAGGGCTGCCCAACTGGAGTAACAGTGTCCCAGGCAGAACATAGCAAATTATATCTCAGAGTTATTGATAGAGAAGCAGACATACTAGCATAGAGGACAGAGATCTGCCCAGCTCTGGTGCTTTAGAGGCTTATTAGAAATATAAAGGTTGTGTGTCTTTTATCTGGGAACTAAATGATCTAAGGTGAAGTAAAAAAAACCCCGGATTAAGTATTTAATCACAACAACCTATCTATGATAGGTCTTTGCCCTAGGCAAACCTCTCTGGACATGCCTTCACTGATAAAACCAGATAAAACCAGTCCAATGAAGATGACAAGTTCATTACCTTCTTTTCAAGTTTCTCATCCCAAATCCTCTTCTGTTAGTTTTTGTTTTATTTCTTGTATTGTGATTGAGTATTTATTATCTTATTTTTTAGAATGTCTGAGTTACTGGTGTTTTGGGTCTGTCACCATGAAAATTCTAAGAGCATCCTCTAATGTTTTTATCCAGTTGGGCAGCACTATAGAACAGTGACACGCATTTTTCCATAAAATAAAAACCCAGCCTCACAGTTCACATCATCCCTAAATTCAGTGTGCCTTGTTTCCTACATTTCTGGAAGCCCAGGATTGGTTTGTTTCCTTTAGGAGTCAACAGAAAGCGGTAGGCCCGGGATATACAAATCTTTAACCTGCAATACATCCAAGGAGATGACGGTCTTTAGCGACTACCCCACCCCTGACCATTACCCCAACTTCATGCACAACTCCAAAATAATGGAGTATCTCAGGATGTACGCCAGCCACTTCGGACTCATGAAACACATCCAGTTCCAGGTAAGGAGTGAAACCCCGCCCACCGCCTACACACTGCTCAAGGCAAAGTCCACACACAAGCCAGCTGGGCACAGTTTCAAACTGCATTTCCCACCTGTGTCTCCCCCATGCTCATCATTCGTCATACAGATATATCTCTGTAATATCTTTTTCCTCAGCATCAAAGCCTTGTCTTGGAGGCTATTCTTCATATCTGGCTTTCAGTTAATTTACTAAAAGTAAAATGTGAGGCAGTGGAGGGGGAGGATTTTAGTGGGTTATTTTCGCAACCTACTCCAATCCGTGAGAGATAATACTTTTATTGATTCTGTATTAAAATCCTAAAGAACCAGGATCTCTAAGTGGAAGTAACAACTTGGTTTATTTGTTGAAATTCAGAATTTCTAGGTTTTTTTTTTTTTAACGAAGATGTGGAACAGTGCTCTAAGATCAGTGGTCCCTGTTGATTTCTTGTTTCCTAGACAAGAGTGTGCAAGGTGAGGAAGCGCCCTGAGTTTTCATCCTCTGGCCAGTGGGACGTTGTGGTGGAGGCTGATGGAAAGCAGAAAACGTACATCTTCGATGGGGTCATGGTTTGTAGTGGTCACTACACTGAGAAGCATCTTCCCTTACAGGATTTTGCAGGTATTTAACTGAATGGGCTACAAGAAAAATCCTGATCACAGACATTGAGAGATGTATTTATGTGGCACAGAATGGTTACAGAAGAAGACTGATTCCTTAACAGTCAGGAAAGACAACAGAAGCAACAATAAAACTGGAAACTAGAGAAGAGCCTTTCTCAAAAAAAAGCCATGTGAGACTGTGAGTGTAGAGAAGGCCATATGCACATGTGTTTGCATGTGTGTGTGCATCTGTCTGTCTGTCTGTGGAGAAGATACAAGGTCATATCTTTATATCATTAATGTGTCAGTGGAATGGAAGAGGGGTTGTCAGGAGAATCAGGGTGAGACCTTCATTAGGGACAGAGGGTGATGATACTGAAACAGGAAGACAAAACTGGAGACATTTCAGAGGAAACAGCACAGCTGAATTACAGAAAATATGTCCCAAAATTAGACTTTATGCCAATATTACTCAAAATTTTGAGATAGAATTAGTTTCATTTTAAAGGTCTATTTTCAATTTTAAAGAAAAGAAATGAAAGAGAAAGAACATAAAAATGGGTAAGGAACAATTTTATCACCCACATGGCAGCTCACAACTGTCTATAATTCTAGCTCCAAGGAATAGGACACTCTTTTCTGGCCTCCACAGCAACACGCACATGTGGTGCACAGACATACATACAAGGCAAGATACCTATACAGAAAATAAAATAAATAATTTTCTATTGTTTTCTTTTATTGAAAATAGATATTTTTCTCACACAATATGTCCCAATTATAGTTTCCTCTCCCTTCTACTCCTCCCTGTTCCTCCCTAGTTAATTTCTTAGCCAGATCCACCGCCTTTCTGTCTCTCATTAGAAAACAAACAGTATTCTAAGGAACAATAAAAATATAAAATAAAGTATAATAAAGTAAAATAGAATAAAATAAAATTAACACATCAGAATTGGAAGAAGAAAAGAAAATACAGAAGGAAAAGAGTCCAAGTGACAGCACAAAAAACAGAGACTTGATCATTGGCCCACTCAGGAATCCTATAAAAATATTAGCTTGGAAGTCTTGATACATATACAAAGGCTACCCTACAGGACATTTCTTAGACCTTTAAAGAAATATCTACCACAAAGTGCAATATACATCCAATGTAAAATAAACTCCTGACTTCAGAGACACAGCAAAATGTATAAAATATTTCATCAATACCTTTGTATGCTGGTTGTATATTAACATTTTAGGTTATGTTTGAATAAGAAATGTCACTGAAATTGAGAGCTGGCTCAGCAATTAAGACTGCTTACTCCACTTCTAGAGGACTCAAGTTTGTTCCCAGTATCCATGTCAGGTGGCCCATAAATGTCTGTAACGCCAGCTTCTAGGGATCCAATACAATTTTCTGAACTTCCCAAGTAGCTTCACTGATGTGCTCACACGTACACGCACACGTATGCACACACTTGGCTAAAAAAATACGATCTAAGAAAATCATAGACAGTATCATTTCTACCTATTCTTACATGACTGTTACAAAGTTGTCTACGTGGTGTTTGCATTTCATGAGTAATTATATTTGACAAATTTAAAATTGGACATTTAAAAACATTCATGTACTTTGATTTTGATCTTAGCCACAGAGTTTCGACTAATGAATATATTTCCTTCTTGAATAATCTTATTTTGTAATATTAGCAATAAATGCTGAGAACAGAGAAGGGAGTTATATTATATGAACGTGAAGCTTAGGAATGGAATTTGCCCCATGTGTTTTCCACTTCTGCTTATGACTTGGGGGATTTGACTCTTACAGGAATCACCAAGTTCCGGGGCAGGTATCTCCACAGCTGGGAGTACAAGCACCCTGACAGTTTTGTGGGGAAGAGAGTGGTCGTGATTGGAATTGGAAATTCTGGAGTAGATGTGGCAAGTGAGATCAGCCATGTTGCTGAACAGGTTTGGTGTCATACTCTAATTTTGTTCCTGGGTGTAACCTTGATCCCTGTGGAGACTGTTGACTCTAGGCTTTCTCTCTGCCTTTAACAGTCATGGTCTCATTTTGTCTGTAAGCTGAGAAAGGCAGCAGTCTTAGTCAGGATTGGTATTCCTGCACAAAACATCATGACCAAGAAGCAAGTTGGGGAGGAAAGTATTTATTCAGCTTACACTTCCACATTGCTGTTCATCACCAAAGGAAGTTAGGACTGGAACTCACACAGGGCAGGAACTTGGAGGCAGATGCTGATGCAGAGGCCATGGATGGATGTTACTTACTGGCTTGCTTCCCCTGGCTTGCTCAGTCTGCTTTCTTATAGAACCCAGGACTACCAGCCCAGGGATGTCACCAACCACAATGGGCCATTGATCATTGATCACTAATTGAGATCAATTAATTAATCACTAATTAATTGAATTGATCACTAATTGATGCCTTACAGCTGGATCTCATGGAGGCATTTCCTCAAGGGAGGCTCCTTTCTCTGTGATTACTACAGCTTGTGTCAAGTTGACACACAAAGCCAGCCAGTACAGCAGCTATGTGTTTTTCTTCTGAATATATATGAAGGGAATAATAGAAAAATACTAAAATAATGACATTCTTCGGTGTAATGAATGCATTGTGAAAGGCTAGAGTCAGTCACTTTGGAATTATCCACATGTGGCTACACTGGGGCGATAAACATTTAAATCTACAGAAAACCTCAAGTGAACATGATTTTGCAGAGAACAATACGCATGGACATGAGTAAGGTATTCCACTTATTTATGAATGACTAGCATAGAGCAGTAAGTCCATGGGAGCTCATTCATTAAGGATATAAAGAATAAGAAAAAAATAAAGCAGCCTTCTCTGCTGCAAATACTGCTGACTTCTAAGCATGAAAGGTCGATTTCTGTCATTCAGAATTAGACTTTGATATTAATTCAGGATACTCTCCAAGAACACATGAGAGTTCAAACTCCAGACGCTTTCTGTCCACATCTACAATCAACCATTCTGCAGGCTGCCGACTCACAGCAGGCTTTGGGAAATCTCTGCCATTGTGCCCTTGCAAGATAAGTGGATGTGTCTTCATTGCAAACCTGCCTCTTCCTTCAAAGTCTCAGTCAAATGACTCAAAATAGGCAGCAGAACTAATCGCCATAGGGTTTGTCCTGGGTTGGGTGACCTTACACTATTTATATGGAATTGTTCATTTGTAACTCTGAGCATATTTACAGTTTAAATTTTCCTATTTCACTTCTGTTGTTATTACATGATCTGCATTCAGTTATTTCTCCAGCACTGTCATTTATAGAATTACACAATATTCAGGGAACGTGAGGTTGAGCTTGTAACTCCCAATGTAAATAACCTATTTGGGCTAAAAATTGTCACATTCTTAGACCTAACACGTTTCTGACATCTGACCCAGCTAGGGGAAAGAAAGACCCAGGATAAACAGTAAGTGAATTGAAAAGGTGATTAAGTGAATTCAAAGGTCTGTTCACAGTGTAAGAGAAGAGAAGCAGGCAGGTGGTGAAGGGATGTGAGTAGTTAATACTGCTGCCTTGGCAATCAAAAAGCAATACTATCAGAATTTGAGATCAGTATGATTAGAGGGGAAAAAAATGGCTTACCAGGTGTCACTCCTCTATGACAGGTTTTCCTCAGCACAAGACGAGGGGCATGGATATGGAACCGAGTTTGGGATAATGGGAATCCCTTGGACACCGCACTCTTCACCCGTTATAATAGAACCATCCAAAGGTTCTATCCCACATTCTTGATCAACAGATGGGCAGAGAATAAATTAAATGCAAGGTTTAACCATGCCAATTATGGACTGCAGGCTAAACACAGGTAAGACCTATACAGCATTTAAGATAAGGAAAGATTTTTTAAACTACTCTGTCAGGCTGAAGAGATGGCTCAGCAGGTAGTAACATTTAATTCTTTTGTAGAGGATCCAAATTCAATTCCAAGCATCTAGAGGCTCACAAATGCCTGTGACCCAGGCTCAGGGGATCTGATACCCTCTTGTGGCCTTCAAGGACACTGCACCCTCACACACACACACACACACACACACACACACACTTAAACTATCATACAAACAACTAATGCTATACCAGTCAGTTGAATGTACAAGGCAAATGAGTGACATTCTAAGTCTTAGTAGAATTTATTGTAATTGGAAATGCTGATGGTCATTTCCTGCCCACTAGGCATTCTGGCCATTCGACTGAGGTGTAAAAGACTGCATTTAGCGTACACATGGGTGAAGCGGTCTTAAGTTCCAGCACCAGTCTTCCTCCCCCTGTCTCACTGCGCCAATTCACACTGCCACACACCCCTTCCACCACCACCTGTCACCTGCTCTCCACTCGTTTTCTAGGTTCAAATTCATGGTCCCACGGTAACCCTCCACCCTGCTGCCAACTAGGACAATTTCAGCCTTGGTATTTCTGACCATGCCCATGTGGTGCAGGCATATTCGAATCCTGCTGTCTGGTCTCTACTCTTCTATTGAGCACTTACACCATCTGCGCCAGTCACTACATGAAGCCTTACTTCTCAGAACTGTTGTGGTTTCAGATGACATCTGTGCACCCATTCTCTCTCTCTCTCTCTTTCACCCTTCACTGGTTCTTCCAACCCCACAGATGTTCTGCGTCTACTTCATTTCTTAGTGCCTTACCTCAACCTGACACTTCAAACTCGGTGTCATCCACATCGTCTTCCTTAGTCCTCTTCCTTCCTCACACTACATAGGTTTCTGTGTTTAAAAGTCTAACTAAGCCAGGTATAGTGGACCATACCTATAATCTCAAAAGAATTGCCTTATATACGTACAAATCTGGCCTGTACCACACTACACAGTTCATTCTGGGCCAGCCTGAGCTACAGAATAAGAATATGTGTCAAAACAAAACAAAGCAAAACAAAGCAGAGGAACAAAAACTAAGTATATAAGGCTGAAGAGGTGGTTCTGAGGTTAAAATCCCTGGCTGCACTTCAAGAGGACCTGGGTTCAATTCCTAGTACCTACATGGTAATTTACAACCCACCTATACCTCCATTTCCAGGGGATCTGACACCTTCTTCTGACCACTAAGAGTACTAGGTACACATGTGGTGATCTGATATGTATTCAGGCAAAACAACCATATACATAAAATGAAATGATTTTCTAATTAGCTAAACAATGTAAAAGATAACAAAGGCTTAAACTATTATAGGTTGCTAAAAAAAAAACAGAAAATTAGCACAGAGTTGTCTGTAATGAAAAAGTAGAGATTCTCATGACTAGTTTTATGATACTGGGCTTATAGGCCTGGTGGAGAACATAGAATATATAACATGATACATGAATGTATCAACTGTGAAGCACACCTGAGAATGGGGCTTTCTGTAAGAAACTCAGACCTTATAATTACCAAACATTAGTGTGTCACTAAGCACAGATATTTACCAGGGAAGATTCAGTATTAAAGTCACTCAGTTGCATATTGTAGAGCCTTGTAAGAGACGAATAACCAGTTTATGTCAGTCTTTGCATGATCCCAAGCACAAATGCCTACATCAACAGTGAAGACCTTTACTCCTGGCAAAAACCCCATCATTAAAATTTAGTGTTATCATGACTGGATTAGTGAGGTGTTATTTGATTCTTATGTCATTACTATCATCTTACAAATTTGAAAACTGATAATAAACTGTTTCATGAGCTGTCCAGAAACTCACCGTGAGAAAAAAGTAGAATAAGTAAGTATAAAGCCCATTCTGACTCCAAAATCAAGTTCTTCATTAATAAACACTGTCATGTGCCCAGGGAGGCAGTAAACAGTATTAAAATTATTAAATATTGCTGTGGTTTTCTAAGCATTAATGACATCAGCTTCTTTATGAAAATATTCATTCTAATTCTTATAATTATGTTCCCTAACATGCAGATTTCTCAGCCATCAGTCTATCTTCAGCGACGACCTGCCAAATAGCATCATTACTGGAAAAGTGCTGGTGAAGACGAATGTGAAGGAGTTCACCTCAACGTCCGCCATCTTTGAGGATGGCTCGGAGGAGATCGTAGACGTTGTTATCTTTGCCACAGGCTACACCTTCTCTTTCCCTTTCTTGGATGACAGCTCTGAAATCCTGGACAGTGAACACACAATGTTTAAATTTGTCTTCCCTCCCCAGTTGGAGAAGCCAACGCTAGCCTTCATTGGGATCCTCCAGCCAGTAGGAGCTACAATCCCCACATCAGAGCTCCAAAGCCGATGGGTTGCACGCGTGTTCACAGGTATGATGGTCTTTATAGGAGCAACCATGCTCTGACCACACATGCAGATGATAAAGGCACCCAGTTTTCTAATGTTAACCTATTCTGCTAAGGCGGAGGTATAGCTCACTGGTAAAGAATTTGCCTGGAATGCTCATGACCTACTTCTGGTTGATCCTTATCATTAAAAAATAAAAGCCCTCAGCTAACTTGGGATTCTATTTTCAGAGTGGCTAATAGCCCTGTTTTTATCAGAAAAGAGAAACCTGAGGCGAGGCTTACAGTCTACCTTTTGTTGGAGTGCTTCTTGAACCTCAGGAAAACCTTGACTGTCCATCCTGTGAGCAATTCATCTCACAGGGGAAACTTACTCACAGTGGCAGATAACTTTGTGTCTTTTTAAAAATTTTTTATTATATATGTATGTGTATTCCTGAGTGTATGTATGTGTACCAGGTACATACAGATACCCACAGAGCCCAAAGGAGTTTGTTTTTAAAAACCCTGGACCTAGAATTATAAATAATTGCAAGTGGCCTAATGTGGAGGCTGGGAACCGAACCTAGGTCTTCTGAAAGAGACGTCATCTCTCCAATTCCCCCAATGGCTCTAACTTGCATGCTATCAGTTTATGCCTGCTCCACCATCACCATGGCACCATGAGCCCAACTGCTTTCTCTCTGCTGCCCTGCCATAGAGAAACCTGCTACTTTGTAGCTTAATTAAAAACTTTTTTAAAGTAATGAAAAGGTTTAAGGTAATGGATATGTTAATTATTCTGAGCTCATTATTACCCCATATATACATGAATCAAAGCCTCACAGTGTATTTCACAAATATATGCAAATAGTGTATAATGATCAAAAAATCATATTAACATGAGTATTTAATAGTCTTGAGTTTTAAATAGAGATTTAAACCGAAAAAACAACTCAAAAACCTATTTTTTCCTGAGAACACTAACTCCCCTTGCTGGCAGCCTAAAGCTGACAGGAAGAAAATGGTCCTTCCAGGCAGTTTTCTATACATGGCTTTGACTATGCATTCCATGGAGAGTCATGGTTATGCCTATTCCATTTCAAAGCCATCCTTTTCTTTTTCTCTTTACTCAGCCCTCCTAGCAGTCCTCCAAAACCTATCTTGTTTTCTCAGGACTGCGAAAGTTACCCTCACAGAGCAACATGATGGTAGACATCAACAGAAGGAAACGGAAGATGGAAAAAGAGTAAGGCACCTGCTCTGAGGGAGTGTAGTTGTAGTTACTGCTACTGCTGCTGCTGCTGCTGCTGCTGCTGCTGCTGCTGCTGTTGCTGTTGCTGCTGCTGCTGCTGTTACTGTTACTGCTGCTGCTGTTACTGCTGCTGCTGCTGCTGCTGCTGTTACTGTTGCTGCTGCTGTGCTGCTACTGTTACTGCTGCTGCTGCTGTTACTGTTGCTGCTGCTGCTGTTACTGTTACTGCTGTTGCTGTTGTTGCTGCTGCTGCTGTTACTGCTGCTGCTGCTGTTATTGTTGTTGTTGTTGTTGTTAAAGTAAATGAAACCTGTCCAGAGGAAATTGCTTAATTTTCTTTTCATATGGTTTATGCCTAAGTGTGATCTGATACATTTGCTTTTGTTCAATGACACAAAGGCTCCATGTATTATAAAAAGAAAAAAGCCCAGCAGATGCATCATAAGTTCCCACACTAACTGAAACACCCCAGAATGCCGAGTCCATGTAACCAACAATCTCCAAACAGACTTTAAAAATAACAGGAAGCAGTCATTCACTTCTTGTAAGAACTATGGTTGAAAAAGACTATTTTTTGACCATCGTTTGTTGTTGTTTTTCTAAGATTTTATTTATATACATCACCACTGTCCTCAGATACACCAGAAGAGGGCATTGGATCCCATTTCAGATGGTTGTCTTATGGTTGCTGGGAATTGAACTAAGGACCTCTGGAAGAATAGTCATTGCTCTTAACCGCTGAGCCATCTCTTCAATCCCAGAAAAGAATATTTTAAAATAGTTAAATTCAGAACCTAGGAGAAAGACAAACATGTTAATAGAGTAGCTAGAAGATGGATGCACAGTTATTTCGATTTATTTACCTGCTACTCTGGGTAGATCTTCCCTCAAAAGCACCCTCAGGGAAATTTGAAAGAATTGGTAAGACAATCTTGTCACAACTCCCAAACATTAAGAAATGTGTTTATTTTACTATTTGGTTTTCCTTTTCAAGAAATGGCCTCTATGATATATCAATTCTCCTTTTTCTGATACCACAAATATAATTTTTTGCCTTTATGAGTAACTGCTGCTCCCCTACCCCTTGTTTCCCATCCCCATCTATTTCATTTAGCCAGACGACTTGTTCACATTTTATATTTTTAAAACACTCATTCATGTCTTCTAAATACTTTGAAAAGTTTTGATGGCTTATAAATTGTCCATAATTTTAATTTTGTTCCTCTTTTACTCAAGAAAAAATTAGCCTGGGGCTTCTAAATTTCTAAGCTTATGGAGCAAGTTACTATTGCCTGCCAGTATCCAGGGGCACAATTTGTATCCAGCAATGGATACATGACAAGGTATTTTGTGTAGCTCGAAAGCCTGAAATAGACTGCAGTTTAATAACAGCCTTCTACACAACTCATGATTCTTGCCTGTCACTTTTATATAATGGAACAGGACTCTATGCCTGCAGAAAAGATACATATAATATCTCCAAGAATTAATCTAATCACTCGTTCAACCATTTCTGTACTTCCGTCATTCTACGGGACCCTTTGGGAAGCTTAAAGATGTCAATAATATAGGACTTATCCTTAAAATCTATAGTAAAGCATGTGTACAAAGTGAAGATGATTTATAGTAAGGCATGTAGGCGAAATGAAGACGATTTGTAAAAAGAAGACAATAAATGTGCTATGAAGCAGAAACTAACCCCACTGGAAATTCAGGGGTGAAGTCTAACCTGGGCATTTAAGTATTCCCTTCTTGTTCCAGGTTTGTGAAAAGCCCCAGAAGCATACATCGAGTGCAGTATATCGACTACATGGATGAAATTGCTTCTGAAATAGGTGTCAAACCCAACCTGCTCTCTCTCTTCCTCTGGGATACAAAGCTGGCCAAGGAGATTTTCTGGGGACCCTGTACGCCATACCAGTACCGTCTACAAGGGCCGGGGAAATGGGCAGGGGCTCGGGCAGCCATTCTGTCTCAGAGAGACCGGATCCTCAAACCCCTGAGAACCCGGGTGCTCAAAACCTCTGAGACATCGTCCTCTCGTCTATTCTGGGCCAGATGTATCTGTGCTGTCATTTTTTTCTTTGTTCCTGTGCTAGTTATCATGCATGTCATATATCAGTGATCCCGTACTGACAGAGAGAGAACCAGTCATTGCTATTTGGCATGCATGCCTCAGAGTCAAGTGAGGTAATGGGGAAAGATATTCATTAGATTGACTAAGACACGTCTGAACACTTAAATGGAAGCAAAGTTACTCGATTACAGATCTCACAAGGGTTTTATATGAAGGGGTTTTAAAATGCATAGCTCATTTCTACTTTATTCCATAGGTGAAAGGACATACCTTATGTTTCCCAGAATAAGGTTATATAGGGCTAATACAAGCAAAGTTTAATAAACAATAATATAAGAGAGGTTAAGCCAGGCATAATACCCAGATACAGTATATGGACTCAGTCTATCTCCCCAAGATGAAGAAAGCACATCTTTTCAGTAGAAAATCTGACAGTTACCACTTGAATTGATTGAACAGTGCTGAAAATTTAGTCTATTTCTTTTCACATCATTATATTGTTTTTTTTTTTTGAGGAGTCAGTATATTTTATTTGATAAATTTTATCTACAGAGTTTACTGAAATCATTTTAATAATAGCCAGATTCTTCTAGATTTCTCACTCACAGAGTTATGTTGTAAACCATTACAAACTGCCTCCCTCCTGGTCACCCCCTCCCATAGTCTTCCCCCTCTCCCCATCTCCTTCTCCCTTGAGTGGAAGCTCCCCTGGGTATCCCCCTCCCAACCCTGGCACTTGAAGTCTCTATGAGGCTAGGCACATCCTCTGCCACTGAGTACAGACAAGGCATCCCAGCTAGTAGGACATATCCCACATACTGGCAACAGCTTTTAGGATAGCCCCTGTCCCAGATGTTCGGGACCCTCATGAAGGCCAAGCTGCACATCTGCTACATATGTGCAGGAAGGCCTACGTCCAGCCCGTATATGTTCTTTGGTTGGTGGTTCAGACTCTGAGATCCCCAAGGATCCAGGTTAGTTGACTCTGATGATCTTCCTGTAGAGTTCCTATTCTTCTGTAAGAGTCCCCAAGCTTCATCCATTGTTTGGCTATGGGTGTCTGTGTCTGTCTGAGTCAGCTGTTGGGTGGAACCTCTCAGAGGACAGCATATTCTTGTCTACAAGCATCATCAATAGTGTTAGGAATTTGATGCTTGCCCATGGGATGAGTCTCAAGTCAGGACAGTTATTGGTTGGCCATTCTCTCAGTCTCTGCTTATTATATGATAAGAAAACCAACACCATGCGATCTTACAAAAAGTGTTTACCTTGAGTGTGATCATGAAGAGTAATCAGAGAAGTGAAGAGGATGAGACATTCTTGAGATATCTCACTGATAGTCTAGAGGAAAGTCTGTGTCACCAGATAGTAAAAATATCATAAATCTTTCTATAGTAATGGAAACCAAGGAAGCATAGACCAGATGCAAGTTTTAAACGTGTGTGAGCTGTTTTACGACAACTGGGGAAATCAGATGTGCGCTGTTTTATATGGTCTTACCGGATTCACGTTTGTATTAATGAGTGCCAAGTTTGTAGATAAAGATCCTCATCTGTACAAGATGCGTGTGCCGAGGGAATTGGTTGTGGTGACACTGTAAAAAGCCTTTGCGGGGTGTGGAAGGGAACAAAAGAGGGAAATGTGTGGTGATTCTAGGACAAGGGTTATAAAGTGTTAATTCCTTCGGCGTTTTTGTAAATTTGAGAATTTCAAAATAAAAGCCATATTCACGTGATGGTTAATATACGTGCCACAGGTAGACCACAAATTCAGCGTTCATGTTTTTATTAACCAAGCCATAAAAAGGAAATCTAAACAGATAAGTGAGGTGCTATATTTAACAAAAATGTCTTGGAGACGGGCAGTCTAATGGCAACACACATTCATTGTGAGCCGGTTAACCATGTCACAGTGAAGTTAGTTATGATCAGTGTTTAAAAGAGTAGGCCAATATCAGCACACTCTTCAAAATATGTTTCAACCAGCATAAATTTTAATGAACATACAGAGCATAGCTTCTGAAACTCTTTGGGATAACATTCTTACAAGCCTAGGGTTGTTATTTTAATTGTAGGTCTTTACCTCAATATACAAGAGACTCCAGTCCTTTGGAGGAATTGTGAGAGAGACTAAGCAGATTCTATAAGGGAGGTCACCTTATACCAAAGATTTGAGCCCCAAGAAGACTCAGTTGGGGACCAGGACAGTTTTTAGTGAGCTGTGTTAAGTCTGTTCCACACAGACAAATGTTTGATTGAAGCCTGGAGCTGTACAGGCTCTAGCAAAGCCGAAGAGTTTTACTGTGAAATCCAATTCTGGGAAAGGTTTCCATATACTCATTCACCAACTTCCCATCCAATATTTAAACTGTGAGCTGTACCCCCAACATGATAGGACATATTGTGAGAAAGCAATTTACCAAACTGAAAAGTTAAGAAATGTCCATCCAAAAACTTTAACTTTACGTGTGGTTTAGACAAGAAAACATCCCCACTTTTTTTCTTAGCAACAATCAACTAACAGGATCATTTGTCTAGATGGTTCCCTCAGAGCTCAAAACGCTAAAAACATACTGTTGTTTAAAAATTGTGAATATAAGAGAGGATAAAAGAATACATTATTCTATGTTAAAATTCCAAGATTTTATGAAAAGTCCACACCATGGATCACAGTATTTCTCTCATTTGGAGTTTCGACTTAGACATACAAAAGACCAATGGTTTGAAACTGAACAAGGCTTCTTTTTCTTATAAGGTAAACCAAAAATAGCAGCACCGAGTAATTAAAACTACTTCAGAGTTGACTGAATATAGCATGATAGACAGACTTTTCCCATCATCCCCTCTTCTATGTGGAGGATCACATTAGCCCTAGAGTCATCTCCTCTCAAGCCAGAGACTGTAAAGAATGAATCCCTTCCTTTTTCATCAGGCAGAAGTCTGATCAGGCATCTGAGATCTCTCACTTCCTGTCTTGCCTATAAGATGACCCAGGTGTGGAACAACCACTGTGGATAATTTTCAACCTAAACTCCCTTGAGGGTCACCCTAGAATAACTCAGGGGGACTACGAGGAAGCCGAACTCAGCTGCACGTCAAAGCTGCAGTCTCTCCTAGGATTAACCAGCAATAAAAGTCCTGTTTTCATTTCCACACACTTATCTCCTGTGTCTTCATCCCAATTTGTCTCTGACTTAGGAGAGATATAATAACTTCTGTAACTGTGACCCAAACTCAAACAAAAAGAAAAAAGGAGGGGGACTCATTTTGTAGACGCAAGAATGAAAGAACAGGTATAGAGTGAGAGATGAGAGCCGCGAGCTCTGGGCACCTTCCGCAATACCGAACAAGGAGGCTGGAGATGTACACGCGGGGTAGAGGATCTGAGGGAGGAGGCATGGAGTCACAGCGTGAGATCCTGCTACTTCACATGACCCTTTACACTTCTGACATCGAAGAGAAGAAATGGAACCTGTGGGCTGATACATGAAAAGTTAGCAGATCATAAGACTGACACATCTGACTGACTTCTCTAGGCACTCCATGGCATGCCACTCTTGGGTGTAGACGGTTGAGTTTATTAGACAGTGTAACGCTCTGACTAGTGATACTATTAATGTGTAATACTCCACTCCCCTAATGACTTAGAGAAAAGGTAAGATTCATTCTTCACAAATACTTCAAATACTAAAGCCAACAGTCCATGAAACTCTTGATTCCCTCTTTGCTCAGAGGTTTTCCTGAGGAATCTGTAGGTTCATTTCTGGTAGTTTGCTTGTGGCTGTTGCCAATGGGATCCTTCGCCTGGTTCCTTTTTCAGGGAGCTGTTCATCACTCTCAGGAAGGCGGTGGTCCTGTCTGCAGCTCGTCTCTTGCTTCCTTCCTTCCCTGAGTCTGTTGTTTACACCCTCCTGTCCTGACTCAAGCCCTCTCTGCTCTTATTCCACTTTTCCAGTAAAAACTCCTGCCCTTTTCTTTACTCCCATTGATTTCAATTTACACAAATGTCCAAGCAGTTTTCAAATGACTACTCTAACCAACCACCATAGGTATGAAATTCACTAAGTTATGGTTTATGAAACAGATCTGAAATTGCTTCCGAATAGCAAAATGCAACCGTTGATGGCCTTGGTGTGGTTAACCTCATAAAAGAAAATTCAGAAAACTTATGAGCTCAGGCCTAAGACCATTTTTTTTCCTAAGACCATTTTCATATTAAGTACACATTCCTATGTACATTTTATATTAATTATATTATATTAATGCAAGCATATCAAGTATACATTTATTAATATTTATCAGAAATAACACCTCTACATATTTTGCCAGAAATTCACACGGTAATAAGCACCTTTTATCCACATTCTTCAAGAATATGGGCAATGTTCTAAACTCCAAAATTACAAAAGCTGGCCCAGTCAGAATATTTTTTGATAATAAAATTAACGAGTCTCATAGTTTTAAAAATAATTCCTTATCAAAATGTATACTCTTAAGCTTCAGACTATTTGTGTGTGGCATGGTTGCAACTTTGTTAGAAAGAAATGGATAATATGCCATGATATGCTACAACGAGTGTCAGTGTGAGGGAGTGTGGACTGCCACAAGATTTTGGACCTTCACCTGACAAGTTTTCTCATGAGTCAATGAGCAGAGTCAGAATCTGAGTTTGTTTGAACACTTTACCTCTGAAGGTTACACGAGACTTCTAAGACTCATTATAGAGCTTGGTGTGTTTCTCTTCCACACCTGTCTTCACTGTGTGCTAACAATCCAGATGACCTGTGATGTTCACCAAACAACAGGAACACAGGTCAGTGTCTACAAGTTTTTCTCCCTGCTGTTGTGACATCCATATGCATTCACTAAGAAAACCACCAATCCTGAAACTTTCTGTGTCTCCAAAGACTCCTCTTGTATTAACTCAGTAACACTAACTCCTTGAGGAGCTGAGCCTCAGTGTCAACATGTCTTTCTGTTTTCTCTTGCAGCAGAGTTTTATCTGTGGCCTCCACACCATCCCCATTCCAGCCAAGGTCCCACCTTCACACAGCCCAGGGAGACCAATGTGTTTAAGGACCACTGCTGATGCCTCAGTGTAGCAGAAGGAACATGCAGCCTCAAAGACACAAGGTCAGCGTTGGGAGCTTCCAGGCCTCTGGGCTAGAGCAGCAGATAGGGAGTATGGGCTGTGTAGGAGCTGGAATTCAATCTGGCATCAAATTCCAAGTTGCACGGAGCAAGTTATTAATTTCTCATCTCTCCTAATATAATTCATTTAAATTAAATTCATATAATTCATTTTTGATGTCTTTATTCATCCAAAACCTTAATATTTAATATTTAAATGTTATAGCAAAAAAAATAAATGCAATACGTGGCATATCTTGAAATGTTTTCAGCTACCCTATTTCACACTTCATTGAAGAAAGTTTTAATGACTTCATCCTTAACTCTTTCTTTACACTCAATCATCCAAAAATATAAACCATAGGAGGAACCCAGAAATATACTGCTAAAGCCCATAGACATCAATGTCAGCATGACCACAATTCAAACTCTAGTCTTACCCCATAGTACTATGTAAGACTGGACAAGCTGACTCACCTGACTATGTCTCTGTGGTCCTGTATAAGGCAGAGTTCACCAGAGGAACAAAAGGAACAGAATATATGTGATTATGAAGGGAGTCCACTAGATAGGCTCATGCAGTTGGGGTTGAATGCTCTCACATGGGCCATCAGCAGGCCAGATAACCAAGGAAATCTGCAGGTGTTCAGTCAAAGAGGATGAGAGCCTCTGGATATTAAAGAAGCCCAGTGTTGAGGCTGAAGGCCTGAAGAGCCTGGAGAGCCACTGGGAAAAGGCTGAAGAATCTAGCATCTCATGTCTACGGGTAACACCAGCAACTGCC